CAAGTAAAATAACTAAAATGGAATAAAACATAGTTTTAATGCCAAAACAAAGTCATAAAGTCTGTAAGTCTGCTGAATCCATTTTTGTTAACTATTTTTTTTTAGTTTAGTTTAGTTTTATAACTTGAATMAAAGCCATATTGTTTACAAATACATTTTTAATGCAAGATGCTGAGTGGCCTTGCATATCTGAAACCCTGCAGTGTTTGCATTTGTTGACTGTCAGATATGGTTGTGTGTGAAGGTCAGCCAGTCCTAATTGGTCTGCAGTGGGAGTGTTTACTCAAATGCACGCTGGCACACACCATATAGATTAACACAGGAGCTCTTGTGTATTATTTATGAACCCGAACTACATTTGTGTTTACAGAAAGTGCATCACCGGGGGGTGTTACATTTCCACCAATTTCTTGAAAGGCATTGGCTTAAAGAATGGCCTCACAAACTGACATATTGGGAAATTACACTCATTTATGCAATAGTTAATAAAGCTAATTATTTAAAGTGGCAAAAATATGTTAAATTAAGCTTAAAATGCTACCTTCGTTATGCACTGGTGTTTGTGTAATGTGAGTCAGAGGGCTGCAAATCTGGTTCAGTATAATCAAGATATCTTCAGGTCATCTGACTTTACTAAAACCAATTTTTCAAAATATATATAATAATRTAATAACTGCTGCTGACTTGACTTTTGCTGTGGTAAAATCTGAGCAGCACTTTAATGAGACTAACATGTTTCCTGGCTTGTGAGATCAAATTATTTTCTCAGTTTCTCCATTCAAGGGGCCTCATATCAGAGACCCACTTTAGTTACAAAAAAATCTTTAAAGACTCGCATGAGTCATTGTGTTTTTAGTTTGCAAAAACTGACAGCACATGCCTCAGACAGAGCTGCTCTCTTTGTTGAGGTGTTTGAGTGGGTGATGTGGTRCAAGATAGACGCAGAGATTAAATGTGTGAAAACAATGGGCTGAAACCAAAAGTCTTCTTTTGTTGAGTAAGTGTCTAATTATTTACTAAATCCTTTTTGTCTAGATATTTTTTTTAATTTAATAACCAGACCAAACCATTTAACATCTTTAAACATCAGAGTGAGTGACATTACATCTTCACAATCATTTTTCTTTTTTAAAGAATAAAAAGGGAAACATACTTACAGTTTTTCTCACTATTTTAAGTTATTTTGATGAATTGCTAGTTTTTATTGTAAAATACAGCTTTATTTTAACCTCTTTAGAGTTTGATATCTGACCCGTCCACATACCCTGTCAGTGATGTTGCATTATAAATGTTTTATTAACAGTGATTTTTCKCCTATGGAAAGTGCTCCATTTCACTGCCCTCTTTTCTCAGACTTATTCGTTATTTAARCTGTTTCTATCATTGACTCTGGTCAGTGAGAAGCAGCGAGGCATGTCAGGGTATGCTTTGACTGCCTGTGGCTGGACACTGGTTCTGAATGTACATTTCAACAGCTGAAAAGCCTAATGAGACACACAGGGGTGTAAAAAAAAGACTGAGTTCATGACTGTGTGTAGAGAAAAGAGAGTTTTTTATCATGTATTTTGATCATGTAGGAAAAATGAGCAAATAAATAAATAAAAATAAGAAGTGTGAATGAACTGGCCCACAACTTTCAGCCACATAATTGAAAACAAGTCAATTAGATACTTAGTTAAACTTGACAAACAGCACTCGTGAATCTTGAAACTACTCTGTTCAGTTCAAATCATTTTTGCACCATCACAACATAATTCATTAGAAGACTATACAGACACTATTGCATTAAAACTTCCATTCATTGCAGCCCCCCACAGCCTGAGTTGCATCAGCACCCTGAYGGTGATGGGGGAAGAAAAAAAACACCTACCTTTAACACAGGAAGAAGCCTCCAGCAGAACAAGGCTCAGGACGAGCGGCCATCTGCCTCGGCCGGCTGGGGTTAGAGAGGACAGGAAAGAGATGCAGACAAACAGGAAGTGGGTCAGGTGTGGATTCTGTGGGAAGGAAAACAAACTAAACTGCAGGCAAAAGCACAACAGTTGAGTGAGTAAAGACAGCAGCAGAGTGAGGAAATGTGACAGGCAGTGTAAGCCTGTAACAGAATAACTATGGGATAGCTCAGGAAACCCCAAGTCAACCCTGACCATAGGATTTATCAAAATGTAGGCTTTATCCTAGTAATAAAAGTAAACAAGGTGTCAGCATCAGTTGGTTCCACAAGAGATGAGCCTGATAACAGAAGCTCTGCCTCCAGTTCTACTTTTAGAAACTCTAAGAACCACAAGTAAACCTGCAACCAAGTGCTCTGAAACTATGGAACAATAACATCTTTATTGTAATCTGGAGCTTGGTTGTCAAATTTGTGTGTTATAAGTACGATTTTAAATTCTATTGTGAATTTTACTAGATGGCAAAGTCCAAACAAAACCACATTTCAAACACATAAACATCAATTAAAGTATTTGTTTGCAGTTGTGTGAGTCAGTAGCTTTTTTCAGCTGCCCCCGTGTCGCTTGGAGAAATATTCCCTCGTGCTGCAGAATGATTTTATTCATCTGTGATGCTGTTGGCCTTTCTGATGTACATCCGCTCAGAGCAGGTTATCCTAAGTGACACTCCACTGGGATATTTAACATGACTAATGGCAGACAGCTGCTGAGCGTGCAGCCTATGGAGGACCAAACCTATCATAATGGGAAATAAATGTAGAAATATATAAATGGCTTGAAAAAGTAAATAC